CCGTGGCAGCTGAGGAGGGGTGTGGAGCCAAGTCCAGAGTCAGGGGGACCTTCCCGTGCAAGGTGCATTAGTTACCTATAGCTGCACAGCAAACTGTCCCAAAGCATACTGGCCTGACTGAGCAATGACATGGCTCGTTTGCATGCAGGGTGAGTTGGTGCTGGTTGTTGGCGGGAGGCCTGGGTTTCTTTCTAGGGTGGCTGGCTTCCCCTAGGGAGAGTGACCCGAGAGGGAGCAAAGGCGGAAGCCATGTCCTTTATGATTTAGCTCCGGAAGTCACTGCTATTTGGGCAACATCTTATTGCTTGCACTCGTCAGCCCTATGTAACAAGGCGGGTGTGGGGACCCTACGCGGGAATGAAAACCAGAAGTCGTGAATCTGGGGACCAGTTGGGGGGTCGGCTACCACGCAAGCAACACCTAATCTGAACCTTAAAGGACGAGCTGATATTGGCCGGATGAAGTTGGTGTGATGGGCCTGTGTCCCCTTAAAATCCATATAGCATCTGACTGTATTTGGAACTAGGGTCTTTAAAGAGAGGATTAGATTAAACTGAGGTCACCGGGGTGGGCCCTCATCCACTATGACTGGTGTCCTTGTAAGAAGAGGCATTAGGACACAGACAAGCCCAGAGGGACAACCACGTGAGGACCTAGGGAGAAGATGTTTACCTACAAGATGAGGAGAGAGGCTTCAGGAGAAGCTAACCCTGCCGGCATCTTGATCTTGAACTTCTGGCCTCCAGGACCGTGAAACAATAAATTTCTGTTGTTTGAGCTGCCCAGTCTGTAGTATTTTGTTACGGCAGCTTGAGCAGACTAATACAGTTGGGAAAGGGGTTTCAAGGCCAAGGGTATGGCCCGAGCAAAGATGTCAAAGTGTGAAACAGGTGATATCAAATGGTTGGCATTACTACACCCCAAAGAGGGGGCCAGCCAACGTTTCTTGTAAAGGGCCAGATAGTCAATATTTTTAAGCGTTTTGGACTGTCGAGTCTGTTGCATGAAAAGTTATAAACAACATGTGAGCAAATGGATGTAGCTGTGTTCCAGTAAAACTTTATAAAAACAGCAGGTCAGATTTGGCCCACAGGCTGCAGTTTGCCAAGCCCTGCTAAAGAGGGTGGGAAATATCTTACAAGGAAAACCCCTCACTCTTCAGGTCAGGGCAAGGGGAGAATGCAGATGGATACGAGGTGCTCTGCAGAGGTGCATGTGAGGGGGTCCCATAAAAGGAATTATTCAATTGCGCAGTCTCGGGCTCAGCTCTGGGCTCTCCCTCTAGCTGTCCGACCTGAGCCCCTATTTCCTCAGCTGGGAAGTGGTAGCATCAACATCCACCTCGCAAGAATTGACGTGTGCTATAAATGAGGTGACCCGGCATAGGGTCTGGCATACAGATCGATAAGGTCTCTTCCCTCTGTCCACTCTCCCTTAGCAAATACAAGGTTCATACTACACCAGCTGTCAAGGAACAGGCTCATTCCCAGGGTCAGAATTCTGCCTCTTTATGCCCAAGGCCACGTGACTCCCCAACTCTAGCGTGGTACGAAGGGACCTGTCTGTGAAAAGCCTTTTTCTGAGGTGAAACCCCAGCCCAAGGGCTCGTGCCAAAGTGAGGACACGGTTACCCCAGGAGGGTGGTTAGGCCAGAGCCTTGGAGCTGATCTTGCTCAGTTTTGCATTGTTTTAAACAGAGTGTGTCATGATCTGATTTGTCACTTAAAACTCTGGCTGCTGGGTGGGGGACAGATTGCAGGGGTGACAGAAACCCGTCACCCTCTTCTCCTTTCCGTGTCTCATTTTCATAGATCTGGCCGCCCGCTTCCAGTTAGCGCTTGCCTCAGTCTGCCGTCTTCCAGCCTTCGCCCCATTCACTACAGGACTAATAGGTGGGGACACAACACAGTCCACTTGCCCGCCAGAGCCTGAGGCTAGGACTCGCACCCGAGCTCAGCACCGATCCCGCCCCTTCTGCCGAAGCCCCGCCCCTTGAGCTGCTAAAGGGGGCGCGCGGCTCCGCCTCGCCTCTCTGCAACCAGCCCCGCCCCTGCCGTCGAGGCCACGCCCACACCCATTACTTGGCCTGCAGGGGGCGCTCAGCCTCACCCCCTCGGCGTTTCCACGCTGCTCCTTGAGGCCCCGCCCCCTCGAGGTCTCGGCCCTGTCTATTGGGTGGCCTGCAGGAAGAGCCCGCGCCCTGCCCCTCT